CGAAGATTATGTTGCTGGATGCGCGGTATGTCAGAGAGCAAAGACTAACAGGCAGAAACCTCATGGGGAGCTTAAACCGCTGGAGGTGGCTACGAAACCTTGGTCCAGTATCTCGATGGATTTTATTGAAGAACTCCCGAATTCCCATGGGTATAATTCAATACTGGTAGTAGTGGACCGATTGACCAAATGGGCGGTTTTTATCCCAACTACGACGAAGTTGACCGCAGCTGGGCTATCAGAGCTGATAATGGACTATGTGGTGGCTCAGCATGGGTTACCGGAGAACATAGTGTCGGACAGGGGATCGAAGTTTACCTCGAAGTTTTGGAAGAACTTGACCGATAGTCTCGGGATAAGACTACATCTCTCTACTGCGTATCATCCACAGACTGATGGACAGACTGAACGAACAAATCAATCCCTCGAACTATACCTTAGAATCTTCACTTCTTATCAGCAAAACGACTGGTCAAAGCTGCTTGCTCGAGCGAGCTTCGCTTATAACAACACCCACCATTCTGCGATAAACAAGACACCGTTTTATGCGAACTATGGGTACCACCCTCGGTGGGCTGAAGAGATTAAGACCAGTGAGGTTGAGGTACCTGCTGCTACAGTAGCGGTAAAAGACTTAACCGAAATACACAAAGAATGTATTGAGGGGATCGAGAGAGCTAATGAGAAGTACGCCGAAGGATACAACAGGAAACATCGAACTACGCCGAACTTCGTGGAAGGTGACCTAGTCATGCTGTCGTTAGAGAATATCAAGACTAAGAGACCAATGAAGAAGTTGGACCTTAAGCAAAGTGGGCCGTACAAGGTAGTACGGCAAGTAGGTTCTCATGCTTGTAAGCTGGAATTACCAGGAACGATGGCAGGTATCCATGATGTATTCCATGTCTCCTTGCTCCGTCCCTATCATCCTCCAGTATTTCCTGGTCAGCAAGCTGAACCACCTGGCCCAGTAGAGGTGGATAACGTGGGAGAATCGTGGGAAGTAAAGGATATTGTGGACTCGAGAGTGAATAAGAGGTCAGGGAAGTTAGAGTATCTAGTGGAATGGTTAGGTTACGAAGGCTCAGATGACGCAGTATCATGGGAACCAGTAGAAAACGTGGACGGAGCTAATGACATATTGGCGAAGTTCCACGAACTTCACCCGGATAAGCCGATGAAAGGACGAGTGGTAAGATCACGAACGAGGAAGTAATTCATACAACTGGTACAACATTAGCTAAGTACAACTCACTGCTGCGAACTTCCTCCCTGTTCCTCGTTCCCCGGTGCAGGACCACCCCCAGAACTACTCTCAGTAACCTTCGGTGCCACCGTCCGTCGGAGGGCTCGAGTCTCCTTCCATGCTGTGTTAAAGGCGAGAATGTGAGCGGAGTGGAGAGCAGGATCACGAGCGAGACTCAGACTAGGTGATTTCCACAACTGACGAAGTGCTCTAAGGCAGTCTGCGGGAAGAGTTAGGATATCGAGGAAAGCACCATCCTGAGAACTGAGTCGAGCTGGTTGAGATGGCTTTAACCAGTCCAGTGTAGGGGGGAGCATATACTCAGTGGGGTTCAGGAGGTAGGGAGAGTCAAAGAGATTGCGGTAGAAGTCGCTCATGTCCGTTGTGAGCTCTCGGGAGACTCTAGCTAACTCAGTTCGCCCTAATGGCCCTATGTCGGAGGAGTTCACAAGGGTTGCCATTGTCCGAGAGAGAGTATTCATCGCGGAGACCAACTTCACGCAATATTCGACGAGCTTCGCCGTATCTCGTCTATTGGCTTGTAATTGAGTGGTTAAACCAATAATGACGGAACGGAAGGTGGCTAGCTGTTTGTCCTCCTCTGGTATCCGAGGATCGAGAGCGATAGTGGGGTGGTCGAGGGAAGGAGGGATTTCCTCTGGTAGCTGAGTACTTTCGTTTTCCACCACAGCCGGTTCGAACTGGACAGCTTTCTTCTTCTTGCCTTTCCCTTTCGAAGATTTTGGAGGAGTTTTCACAGGAGGGGCAGGAGTTGAGAGCCCAGAAGCAGGAGGAGCAGATGGTTGACGGCTTCGGGTCCCAAGGGCAGGAGGGAGACTTAGAGGAGACTCCTCTTGAGTTGACACAGGAGTAGGACGGCTCCTGGTGGGACGAGACGGACCGGCAGAAGGGGTAGCCGGGAGACGAGATGGGCCAGCCATAGGTGTCGAGGGCTGGAGGGAGGCGGAAGGAGCACGGCGAGGCGCGCGACGAGACGAACCTGCCGAAGGGGTAGCAGGGAGACGAGACGGTCCGGCCACGGGAGAGTTAGGCGGGCGACGGACGACGGGTGACGGCGAGGTGGGGCCAGGAGAGGAGAAGTTCGCCGAAGGAGAGCGCAAAGGATAGTTTCCGTCTTGGGCTGTGGGGAGACGGCGGCGAACAGCGGCGGACGGAGTGTAGGGGGGACCGAGGGGAGCAGAAGGTCTAGGAGGAATATCCCGAGCGGTGTTGGGGGGACAGAACGAGCAGGGGCCAGAAGTGCAAGAAGCACAACGGGAGCCGCGATTATGAGGTTTGACCGGTCGTAGACACGGCCATTTCGCTCTCCCATACGTGATAATTTCACGGCTACTGATCAGCAGATGTATAAACTTCTAGGGAAGGAACCTACCGACATCTATCACACGACTCATCGATACTGGCGACCTCCCATCGCTCCCTTTCATCGATAAACAACTTCCATAGCCTATCCTGCTCTCGCAACGATGCCTTGCGAGCACTCCCTGGCTCGTGGGAAGGGGAGGGAAACAATTCAGCCTGTCCTGTAGAGGACCGAGGGGTCTCTTTGACCCGTTTCGCCGAAGGAGGGGTTACTTCGTCGTGGGCGGAAGGGGAACGGCGACGTTTCTCGGCTTTAATCTCAGCCAGAGCATCCATCTTCTCCTGATACGCAACCCGTTTCTTCCCGAAAGAAGTCTGGAGCCGTACGCGGAATTCGGGAGACCCCTCATTATCACGAACAGCTACATGTCAGCACTTACGAGCAGGGTATATGACAAGAGGACATACGGCTTAACTTTTCCAACTCTGACACCCAAGTTTCTCTATCCTCAAACAGCGCCGGATCACCGAGATCAACACTGAAGATTTCCTCATCCTCATCGACCTCACCCATCTCATCATCATCATCTGCACCACCCATCTCACCATCATCAACCAACACACCCGTCTCTTCACCACGACGAACACCAACCACCTCCTCATCACCATCCATCTCTTCATCATCATCGTCGATTTCCACCACAGTAGCGGACTGACCCGAAGCTTGCAAGGGGCCAACAGGAGCAGGTCTGACCTCCTGTTGGCCAGAGGAGAGAGGGGTCGTAACCGCAGCAGGGGACGCGGGGGCAGAAGGAACTGCAGCGGAAGCTGCAGCAGCAGAAGGCGAGCCATCGGTGATGGCTAAGGCTCCAAAGCCCATAGATGACACTTGGCGGGGAGAGCTCCCCTGCTGAGCGACTAGGACAATCAGCGACAGAGTAGCTTATAGAGAGTACAAGTAGACTTACGGACAGCGGCGAAGCGATCTGCAAAAAAATTATGGGCGTTGAGCTCCGGACGAGAAGACATTTTGTTGAAATATATCAAATTGATATGCTTGGTAAGGTAAAGACTGGAAATCGATAGACGATGATAGTACGATTTAGGATTAGTCCTGGGAAAGAAGAAGAAGTGGGCCGAAGTACTGAGTATTTAGTATAACTGACATGGCTACTCGTCGTCAGGGCGCTGGTAACTTCGCATAACAAGGTGTCTCAGCAACAACAAACACCATGACGACGATCAAAATTCCCACGCTACGTGTCTCACATTCATATAAGTTAGGGATACGCTGACGAACGTCGACGAGGTTTGTTGTACCCCAAATCCTCTGTCTCACTTACAATGTAACTACCACAGGGTAACAACAAGCAACCACGATGAACTTCGACGAAGTTTACTGTCCGTTTAACAACGAACCATGGTATCATCTACCAACAACTGTTATATGACCAATTGTGTTTCCTGTAACCTGCTGAGTGTCCTTTTCTTCATTACATGCATACAAAGCTCACGAGGACGTTCGCACCTAAGGAGGGGGCGACTGTCACGAACTACGTCGTAACATCCCTGACAACCACCATCACTGACCCTCCTTTCACCATCACCGACCTTCCTTTCACCACCACCAACCTCCACTCGAACCACTGAGACCAACTACGGCGAAGTTACGAGAACCAAGAGTGTATTTGTCACGATAACCCCGTCTAGCGGAGAACTACGGCGAAGTTAGGGGAAGGGAACCGAGGGAGAGCAGAACAGGGGAAGTTAGGCGAAGTTAGTCGAAGTGAGCGGAGTAGGATATCGGGGATACGGCGAGGTACGGCAAGGTTGAACGAAGAGGACTGAGCGTGAGGCAGTGCAGGAGTTGAGGGACGTTCTATGAGAAGAGAGGAGTAGTATAGATAGTTTACAGATTGCTGAACTTCTTCAGCGATCCTTGATTGTTGTCAGTAGTAAAAGACAAATAGAGATAGCTATACATCGGGATACATCGCCATCAATAGAACAAAGCCTTAGTTAGAGTAACTACGCCGAAGTACGCCGTAGTTACACTCCTTTCGACGTCTGCGCCCTCCTGGTTGGGTGAGACATCGACTCAGAAGCGTGAAGTTAGCCGAGGTTCGTCGACCGTCGGTCTATTAGGAAGAAGTTGCTCGACGGCCGTGACAGTTCGTTGCAACCATAGTCACTCTCAAAGGATAGTTTTAAACTGTTTCATTGCAATCTCACCCTCAAAGGATAGTTTCAAACTGTTTCATTGCAATCCCGAGCAACAAACATTGCAGGGCGTAGTTGGTTGAACAATTTTCTATGCAGAAAGTGTAAACAAGTGTACACACAACGAGGATGTATCAAGTGTAGTGTCGTGGATCTTCGCCCACTATTCTTCAACTTTTTTCGTTAATTGAAACTTAGCTATAGCATCAGAATGTCAGATACAACACCTTCTTCCAAAGTACCTCCTCCCACGCCAAAGCGGTACGCAAACAAGGGAAGTCGTCGCAACGACACCTCTCCAGAAAAGGGAGGATCAGCAGTCGATGAATTTTTTTCAACAAAAGTATTGAGTACGTTAGAACCTTTTGTCGAGTCATTGACAGTATCTAATTAGCAGGTGCGTATGAACCGTTTGAATGGGTGCCGGGAACGAAATTCAATCATCGTATTTTTCCTCAGGATAGCTCAAAGACATTGGCTTTACTGCCAAACACCTTGAAAGGCGAAGTGTGGGCTATACCACCGAATAAAGAGTTAGAAATAGTGAGCTTGAACTTCTGATGTTAAACTCGACCAGAACAATGCTTATCGATGAAATTAGGTCAAGCGTCACCGTCTGGCTCACAATATCGTGTGTGGCCCCCAATCTGTGATCCGTTCCGGCGTGGCAATGTGTTCACATTGTCAAAATCGAATTACTCGCGATGATGCCGTATCCTTTGGCTGCATAACCGTCAGTGAGAGGGCACAATCAAGCTGTGCTGAGTGCCGTGCGAGAGGAACGAGCAATTGTGATTTTGGGAAGAATGTGTTAGAAGAAGAAATCCTAGATGCGTCATTGGCCTCTAACCTTGTTGCCAAGCTCGAAGGATTAGAAGCAATCGTCAGTGGTTTTGGTAAGTACCAGTTAACAATTGTGTGCTATGCTAAATGAAAAGCGGCAATCGATACCTTGATTCCGCCTCAGGTGATTTTGTCTGCTTTAGGTCCGCTTACTCGCGACGGGCATGCACTTGTCAAGCAGCTTAATGCTGCAGTAGCCGCTAATGTCTTCGACACCGACGATCCTTCCTTACGTCGTCGCCGTACCGCGGTCAACTTTCTTCCATCGCCGGTGTTGGAACACGGACAACTTACAGGACTCAGTGCGGGCTGGAACGATGGAGGTATGTCTTTTATCACTCATTTTTGTATACAGCACTGACATTAGATATTACGATGGATGACGCTGCGAATAAAGAGCTGAATACCGATCCTGCTGCTGCGGCTGCTACATCTGGGCCTGCGCGGAACTTACGATCGCAACGCAAACCTTCTCAGACTTTTGAACAACGTCTTCGATCTGCTCAAGTCTCTGGAAAGCGAGGGAAGTCTCGTCAGATCTCAGAAAGTAGTCGCTTGTCAACCCCCAACGATTTAGATCGTCAAACGTCGAACACGAGTGGATCAGGTGCCGGGGTGTCAGACAAGAGTACGCATGACAATGATCAGACCATGTTAGATCAGCTGGATGAAACTGGGGGTTAACTTTGTAGCAAATAGTCAATCAATGTATGCACATGTCATGACTGCCTCATTAATACATGCAAAGGTCGAAGACTTTCAGTAATTGCATGAAGCAAACAATGTTGATTGTTGAAATTGAAAGTCAATCGTAAAAAGCGATCGTAGGCCGACGTCGGCCGACGCCGGTTCACGTGGCACGGAAGATTTGGTTACACCGGACGGGCCCGGACGCCCATATGGACCCCGTCCGGTCCCTATTGGCCCTGAGGTCGTGTAACCATTAGTTACGTACAACGAGTCAGTGGTACACTTCAGCAATGGCTGACCCAATCCCAATTATCGACCCGGACACTTGGACTGCCACAAGCAGTCCTGATGACCAAGATAACACCAAAAAGTGGATGAACACTGGCGCTTCAACACCACCTCCGGAGCCTAAGTATACCTCTGCGACCAAGAGGAGAAGAGTGGATGCAGATGCAGCTACAATACAATTAGGAACGAACACCACTTGCAGTGACACGGATCACCGCAGCACGGCAGTGCCGGCAGTACCCACTAAAATCACTACTGAGTCTCCAGGAATGATTGAAGTGCCGCCAACCAACTCAAAGCCCAAATTTTTCATCACCAAATTTGAAAATCAGGTGACACAGTGTGAAGACGCACTGGGCATCATCATGAGCATGTCCGAGTCAGATACTGCCTCCACGGTTTTGGCACAGATGTACACCCACTTGGAGACGGTCCAAACCCTTATACAAGCCGCCTGGGCTACTCAGATTGTGTTTGTGCCAGACGAACAAACATTGAGTCAGGGTTTTCAATACAATTTAAAAGCATTGACAGTTGGCATGGACAGTTTCATTAATCGTGAAGACAAGACCATCACACATGTAGAAGAGCTGAATAGTGTCCTTACAAACTTTGAAGGGCACAATGCCTGGTTTCAAGAAATCAAGGATGCTGTCACCGCACAGACACAAGGGCCCCAGTCAGTTCCAGGCACAGTAAAGGCCAAAGTTGGGTAGAAAACATTGTTAAGCTTGGTACAATATTACTTGCCATCAAGATTATGGAACTTAGTGAGAGCTTCACATGGAAGATAGATGATGAGGAATGCAGCAGACTATTTGATTGTCATGGAGCAAGACCCTTGTATGCTTCCTACAGCCAACAGTGTTACGGGGTAACAACGAATCGAGAGAACTCCATCAAATTTGACGGATTAGGAAAGAGAACGGCGGGAGTTGGAGGCAGTGCTGCAGTAGATAGGGACGGGTTTTCCCTTTTTGAGATTTCCCTACTGGGTTTGCTCAAAAGCGGTTTTTCACCTGCCTGTCATAAATCTCGAATCTCGGTCGCAGCACAAGCAGTTTATAAAGGGTCTCAGCTCATACTATGAGCTGAGCATTGGATCTTTTAGCACAAGAGCTTAGTGCACGTCACCCTTTAGGCGTATGCATTACAGAATGCTCAGTGCTGGGACATCAGCCCTTGAGGGGGGGCTCCTGTCATAAATCTCGAATCTCAGTCGCAGCACAAGCAGTTTATAAAGGGTCTCAGCTCATACTATGAGCTGAGCATTGGATCTTTTAGCACAAGAGCTTAGTGCACGTCACCCTTTAGGCGTATGCATTACACTGTCCGAGTATGTTGTCACGGCTGTCTAACAACTACCTTATAACAGACCAATGGTTGACAAACCTCAGCTAACTTGACGCTTCTAAGTCGATGTCTCACCCAACCAGGAGGGCGCAGACGTTGAAAGGAGTGTAACTACGACGAGTAACTACGGCGTACTTCGGCGTAGTTACTCTAACTGGGGTTTTGTTCTACTGATGGCGATGTATCTCGATTGTATATAGCTATCTCTATCTGTCTTTTCACTACTGACAACAATCAAGGATGGCTGAAGAACTTCAGCGATCTTCTCAGCTAATATTATCTACTCCTCATAGACGTTCGTCAAACCCTCTCGCGCTTTGACGTACTTCAACGCACTTTGTCCAACTTCCCCGAGTCCCCGGCCATCCTCTTCCTCCTTCGACTAACTCCGCCTAACATCGCCGCACTTCTGCTCCCATTGTCCCTACCTAGCCTCACTCCGTCTAACGTCTCCGTACTTCTGCTCCCATTGTCCCTACCTAGCCTAACTTCGTCTAACTTCGCCGTACTTGGTCTCAGATGTCCTGAGTTACGTGTAGAGTAAAGAGGTTAAGACGTGATGGGGGTTTTGATGGTCAAAGGAGGGTCATTGTTGGTGAAATAATCGAGGTGTCACAACATAGTTCATGACAGTCGCCCCCTTCTTTAGCGCGAACGTCCTCGTGAGCGATTAGACCTCTACTGTGGCAAGAAAACTTAGCAGCGTAGTACCTCCATTCTCTCCTTCTCCATAGTCATCCTCCGCCCTTTTGCTCTCTGCGCCGTGCTTCATAGTTGAGCCTCCTTTCGCTTCAAAACCCAACAATGAGACTCCCCTAACTTTGTCGTGGTTTGCCGTAAGAAGCCCTGTGTCTTTTGTAGGTGAGACACGCTTCCCAAATGGTAGCCGAACAACACCGTTATTTGTCGAAGTAACCCTCGTTTATATTGAGGTGAGACACTATAGCGTGGGAATTTTGATCGTCCCTGTGTCGACTTTTGTTGATGAAACGCGAAGTTTGCTGCATGTTGACGACGAGGGGGTAGGTCTGATTATACTAAATACTGAGCAGTTCGTCGAGCTTCTCTCTTTTCCCCATCTGTTTTCAAAACTTTCTATCTATCTTACCTAGAAAACAGATTTGTTACCTTGACCAATCGTCTTCAGTTTTAATTCTTTTTAAGTATCTTAACGTCATGGCCCTCTCTACTCCCACTCCCAGCCCTTTTGCCGCCATGAGGAATTTTGGTGGTATGGTGTCATCTGCTCGTGAGTTTTTCCTCGGCACTTACCTCACCTCGCCGCACTTGGCTGACGTTCAGTTTCCTTCGGTGATAGATCTCGCCAAGTCTCCTCTCTTGGCCTCGGCACTCTTTCTCTGGGGGAACCGTCTGGCGCCGCCTCGCCTCCTCGCTCTGCTTCTCCTCTCGCCGGTCCCTCCGCTGGTTCTCCCTCTGCTTCTCCTCCCCCTGGTTCTCTCTCCGCTTCCCCTCCTGCCGGTTCTCCCTCCGCTTCTCCTCCTGCTGGTTCTCCCGCCGCTTCTCCTCCTGCCGCCACCCCTCGTCGCAGGACGCCCGCCTTTCGCCCTGGTGAGTCTCCGTCCTCCTCCGACCAGGAGCCGCTCAGCGGTTCGGAGTTGGACGATCAGTCGGACCCCGAAGGAAGTGAGGGCAATTATGATGATGATGAGGATCAGGATCGTAGTATCGATCCGGAGGGTGGAAGTGAGTTAGGGGAATACCCAGATGATGATGTGGAGGTGGTTAGAGTAAGGGACAACGACGTTGATAGTCCTGAGCGTGAGTTCCTTGCCCATCCTCTCACACCTTCGCCGAACTTGGCCTTGTTTATCTGTTCTTTAGCTTCCTAAGACACTGCTGACTCGTAGCCGTTCGCGTTTCCCCCCCTGCTCAAATCGTGGGCCAGAAACAACCTCGTGCCCTCTCCTCCTCTTCCTCTTCTTCTTCTTCTTCTTCTGGGGTTCTCCCCCCCGCCAACGCCATTGTCACAGGGTTGCTTCTTCGTTAACTTCCTACGACCGACGGCCAATAACTTCGTGGGCTTCGACCTTTACCAACTTCGTTGTTCGAGATATGAAATAGGTGACAATAACTTCTGGGTGTAATAACTTCGTACTTTACTAACTTCTATCACTAAGACAACAACCAAAGATCGTCAAAGATCTCTGGGAACTTCGGCCCTTAAGTACTTCGTCCTTCCCTAACTTCGTCAACGCAGAACTTTGTTCAACCCGACGTCCCGAGCTTCGTACCTCACGAACTTCGTCCCCGACGAAGTTCGTGCCTTCCTAACTTCGTATCCTCCTAACTTCGTATCTCCCTAACTTCGTATCTTCCTAACTTCGTATCCCCCTAAGTTCCTACATGACTAACTTCGTCCTCGACGAAGTTAGCCTCCTAATACCCTCGTGGGTGGTGAAGTTCATGCGAACTGGGTCGTTGATGGCGAACTGATGTCCAAAGGAACTTCGTTTGATGGGAAAGGATAATGTCACGCGGCGCCGCGTGACAGCCATCGCCGCCGCTGCCGCTGCTGCTGCTCGCCGCCCTGCTGCCGCTCCCCGTCCCGCCGCCGCCTCCGTTGCTGCTCCCCTCTCTCCTCCCCGAGGGGAGCCTTCGCCCAAACGGGTGAAGAGGTCATTGCGGGAAGAAGAGTACTTGTGGAAGAAGATGGAGTCTGAGCCTGGACGTTGGGTTGCGGTTGGTGTCGATGAGGCGTGCGATCGTTGCCGGTGAGTTCGCCTATTCGTACTACGCCAAAGTTCTCCCTGCTAATTAGTAGACGTGAGATTATCACGTATAATCGTCCGAATTGGCCCTGCCTCAAGGCAGTCAGGCCACACAACAAAGCCCTCCGTTGTGCTTCATGCACATCTGGTCCCTGCTCCTTCTGTCCCGTCTCCTCTGCTCGGGACATCCCGCCCTGTCCTTCCGACTCTTCGCCTTTCCCGCCTCCCCAGACTTCAGTGTCTTTCCCCCGTTCGCGGGTACCACCTTCGTCTCTCCGGTCGGTTCGCCGTACTTCGCCGGCCCCTCGCTCGTTGCCTCCCTCGCCGTTGCCCTTCGCTCCTGCGGCCGGCCCATCACGTCTCCCGCCTGCTCCTCCGTCGTCCTCCCGCCGCCCTCCGTCCTCCCGCCGCCCTTCGGCCTCTCGTCCTTCGGCGCCTTGTCCGTCCTCTCCCGTGGCACCTTCTCCTCTGGCTCACGGCACCCGAAGTCGGCGTCCTTCTGCTTCTCCGGCCAATTTGACGGCCCCTCCTGTCACCTCTCCCTCTGCTTCTCAGAAGACACCGAAATCTTCTTTAAAGAGATCAAAAGGGAAATCTAAAGAGAAGGAGGTTGTCTTCGATGATGGTGATGTGGAAGAAGAAGATACTCAGCGTGCTGGTCCCTCTACTCCCCGGCTGTCCCTTGTCCACCCCCGTATCTCCCTGGACGTTCGTATTCCTGAGGACGAAAAGGAATTCGCCACTTATCGTTCCCTTGTCCTCAGCCTCACCACTCAGCTCGAGGCCGCCTGTCACGACCCTGCAAGTCCTTGGGTCGTGCCCCTTGGACCCTGAGAATTCAGGGACATTACCAGGCGAGATAGGTGAGATACCAGGCGAGATAGGTGAGATACCAGGCGAGATAGGTGAGATATCAGGCAAGATAGGTGAGATATCAGGCAAGATAGGTGAGATGTAAAGCGAGATAGGCGAGACTCAAGGTGGGACAGGCGAGATATCAGGCGAGACAGAGCGAGAAGCAAGGCGAGACAGGTGAGATCTCTGGCGAGATCAGCGAGACATGGAGCGAGACGATTTGCAAGTAAGAGCTCACTATAAACTATAAATACTGGTCATAGTCTTCTTGTAGTCTTTCCTTCTTCAAGGATCAATATATTATTTGCCACTCGCAAAAGACCTCTTCTTGACAAACAACTTACATCCGTCACATCCCTCATCAACCTCACCCCTGTCCACACCATCACACACACCCTTACCGTCATCTCAACCTGCCCGGATCCTTCGCAAGTCACTTTAGCCGTCCGACCACATCACAAGTCTACGGACAACATACTAACCGTCGTTGTCCAAGCTAAGTAAACAGTTATAGTCCACCTGTCTCTGATCTATCGAGGTCAGCCAGGGACAGGTCCGTGACACCGCCCGAAATGATACATCTCTCTTGCTTGACTTCTCCTCTTGTCAAGCTAACGCTTTAAATAACCTTACTGCGGCGTTAGTAGATGTAGTCAACACTGGGGCTTTGGACGACGAAGCAAGGACGAGGTTAGCAGACGTCTCTCAGCAAAGCCTTACTGAGATAGCTGATGTTCGCCAAAGGCTTTTCGACACCCCCTTCCTCGTAACTCCTATGGCGTATGAACCACCACCGTCCCTCGACTGGTTAGGTCGCCGTAGTAGTTCTCGTGTCCCTGCTTCCGCCCAGACTGCTCTTGACCTCCTCATTCTTCCTTTCGAGTGTCTACGGACCATACGTTCTCTGTGGCGGACTCCGAGCATGCAAGCTGCTCGAGATGTCCAGGACTTCGGTGACTTCTTCGCGGTTATGAATTGGGCATGGAATGCTTCTCTCTCTACTGTGTTCCCCTCTGAGACTCTCGATCTTCCCTCAGCCATCGGTAGTCTCCCCAGCAACCCCGCGGGATCAAGTAGAGCAAAGGAGAAAGGAAAAGGAAAGGGTAAGGGTAAGGATAAGTGAGCGGTACATAGCTGTAATCCTATGTTGTATGCAGTATGTCTCTACTTCTCAGCCCTTTGCAGTCGCCCTTCCTTCGGCTTAGTAGGACGAAGTTCGTGGAACTTCGTCAATGTGTCATCAGCTCCATCAACGTTCTCTACTGGCTCCCATGATACCGAATCATCTGTTCCTTCGTAACCTAACCATTCTACCAAGTACTCTAACTTTCCTGATCTCTTATTTACTCTAGAGTCCACAATATCCTTTACCTCCCATGACTCTCCCACATTGTCTACCTCTACTGGGCCAGGTGGTTCAGCTTGCTGACCAGGAAATACTGGAGGGTGATAGGGACGGAGCAAGGAGACATGGAATACATCATGGATACCTGCCATCGTTCCTGGTAATTCCAATTGACAAGCATGAGGCCTACCTGCCGTACTACCTTGTACGGCCCACTTTGCTTCAAATCTAACTTCTTCATTGGTCTTTTAGTCCTAATGTTCTCTGATGACAGCATCGCTAGGTCACCTTCTACAAAGTTCGGCGTAGTTCGGTGTTTCCTATTGTACCCTTCGGCGTACTTCTCATTAGCTCTCTCAATTCCCTCAATACACTCCTTATGTATCTCGGTCAGATCCTTTATTACCACTGTAGCAGCGGGTACTTCGACCTCGCTAGCCTTGATCTCTTCAGCCCAACGGGGATGATATCCATAGTCCGCATAGAATGGTGTTTTGTTTATCGCAGAATGCTGGGTGTTGTTGTAAGCAAAGCTAGCTCGAGCGAGTAACTTCGACCAATCATTCTGTTGATAGGAGGTGAAGATTTGAAGATAAAGCTCTAAAGACTGGTTGGTTCGTTCGGTCTGTCCATCAGTCTGTGGATGATATGCAGTAGAGAGGTGTAGTCTTATCCCAAGACTATCGGTCAAGTTCTTCCAGAACTTCGAGGTGAACTTTGACCCCCTGTCCAATACTATGTTCTCTGGTAGCCCATGCTGAGCCACCACGTAGTCCATTATCAACTCTGACAGGCCAGCTGCGGTTAACTTCGTCGTAGTCGGGATAAAAATGACCCATTTGGTCAATTGGTCCACCACTACCAGGATGGAATTATATCCATGGGAATTTGGCAGCTCCTCAATAAAATCCATCGAGATACTGGACCAAGGTGTCGTAGCCACTTCCAGTGGTTTAAGCTCTCCATGGGGTTTCTGCCTGTTAGTCTTTGCCCTCTGACATACCACACATCCAGCAATGTAGTCTTCGACATCCTTCCTTACTCCAACCCAAACGTAATCCCGTAGGACTAGCTCAAGAGTCTTTCCTGAGCCTGGGTGACCGGCCAAGGCTGAGTCATGTCTCATCTTCATGATTTTTAGCTGAGCATCGGCGTAGTTCGGCACATAGGTACGATCATCAAACGTGAGGAACCCCCTTGAGTTCCATCCTCCACAAAGTATCAAGGGAGACCGCGAACTACGGCGTAACTCGGCAACCGACTCTGGTTCCTGTACGTTATCTTGACATGTCGGATGGGAGCACTCAGCACAGGTTACTCCCAATAGCTCTTCTCTAACCTCCTCCACCTCTTCGTCTTCCTGTATTCCAACTATCAAATCCATAGGATCAATGAGGTCGTTCTCTCATACTTCCTTTGTTCCCTGTAAAGCCCGAAGCAGGTGTTGTAACCCAGAGCTAGTGTTGTCAAGCTCGTCGAACTTCGGCAGGCCTTGGATAAGATTGCTCTCTTGTACCATAGTACTCCCCCTTCCAGAGTGGTAGTCTGCCCTTCTCGACAGTCCGTCCGGCAGTGTAGCTTGTTTTCCTGGTCGGTACACCATTTTAAACCTGAAGTTAGAGAGCTCTTCGACCCACCTACCCTGCCTAGGGCTAAGTTGTTTAGGTTCCATCCAATACGTCAAATTCAAATGATCTGTGAGAACTGTAGTCTCTACCTGTAGCAGTAAGTGTCTCCTTCTTCTGAAAGCTTCAACGATAGCTAGTAACTCCTTTTTGCCTACCGTGTAGTTCAACTGCGCCGCCTGAAACGCTCCGGACTCGATAGCCACCGGATGCTCTTGCCCTAACTCGTTCACCTGCGAAATTATGAAACCCCAGCCGAAGAACGACGCATCTGTTTGTAGTAGTGTCTTCAACGAAGGATCAAAGTGAGCCAATACTGGGGCCCTACACATCCTATCCTTTAATTCTTTAAAAGCTCTCTCCTGTTTTACTCCCCAATCAAACGGTACATCCTTCCTGGTGAGATCATTGATCGGTTTAGCAATCCTGGAGAAGTTGGGGACAAAACGCCGATAATAACTGACAACTCCCCTAAATCCTCTACTCTCTCGCAAGTTCTTAGGACGGTGAAAAGATACAACAGCATCGATGTACTCCGGGTTACTGGAAACTCCCTTCCGTGAGACCACAAACCCCAGGAAGACTACCGAATCTGTCTCAAACTCGCACTTACTAGCTTTTACAAACAAATTCGACCTTCGAAGCACTTCTGTCACAATCGTTCTCTCTTCTGCTCTACTGACCGACGGTTGACAAACCTCGGCTAACTACGTCGTAGTGGGGCGTCGATGTCTCACTAGGACAGGGTACTTGTTGGGGAACTACGGCTAACTTCGTCGTAGTAAGACGTCGAGTGGTAAATGAATAGGATGATTGTTGAGGAACCGCGGCTAACTTCGCCGTAGTGCGTCAAACTGCTCGGTGGTAGCTCTCCCTAACTCAATGTTTGTAGCTACTGAATATATCTCTCGCTACTGACAACAATCAAGGATCACTGAAGAAGTTCAGCGATCTGTAACCTATCTATACTACTCCTCTCTTCTCATAGAACGTCCCTCAACTCCTGCACTGCCTCACGGTCAGTCCTCCTCGTTCAACTTCGCCGTACACCCGGTGTCCTACTCCACTCACTTCGGCTAACTTCACCTAACTTCCCTTGTTCTGCTCTCCCTCGGTTCTCTTCCCCTAGCTTCGCCGTAGTTCTCCGCTTGACGGGGTTATCGTGACAAATACCCTCTTGGTTCTCGTAACTTCGCCGTAGTTGGTCTCAGTGGTTCGAGTGGAAGTCGGTGATGGTGAAAGGAAGGTCGGTGATGGTGAAAGGAGGATCGGTGATGGTGGTTGTCAGGGATGTTACGACGTAGTTCGTGACAACTTCAAACACCTTCGCCATAGTTCCCCTCAGTTCTTCCAACGTTTGACCATAGATGAGTATATCATCTATGTAGACTACTACTCCCTTTCCCAACAGCTCTCGAAAACCTTCATTCAAGAAGTGCTGGAAAACAGCAGGAGCATTCCGTAGGCCATCTCGGACAACAAGAGACTCGAACATACCGTACTGGGTTCTAAATGCTGTCAAGTGTTCGTGTCCTTCCTTTACTCGTAGGAGCTGATAAGCCCCAATCAGATCTAACTTGCTGAAAAACCTTGCCTTTCCCAGCTCTTCGGTTATCTGCCCGATCAGAGGCAGTGGATAGGCGTCGGGTACAGTTGCCTCGTTTAACTTTCGGTAGTCAATGACCATCCGCCATTGACCTTTTGTTTTCTTCGGTATCAAGAACATCGGTGATCCGTAGGGCAAATTACTGGGTCAAATTCTTCCAGCCAATATTTTGCGATCTAGGATGTCTCTCAGCGCACTTCTCTGATCTTCTCCGAGTGAGTAGAGTGGAGCAACTTTCAGGTTCGCCCCCTCCTTAAGATCAAACTCCAGATTGTTGGAATACATCAATTCCGTGTGATACCGCCACATTTATTAGTCCGTCTAATTCCGTCCAAGTATCATCTTGTAACTTTCTACCTAGATGGTCTTCATCGCTTTCTCTGTGCTGAAGTTCATCTAGGTA